ATCATCGCCGCGCTCCGGATATTTGTTCAAATACCCGCACCCACTCGGGTATCTCATCTAAATATCCGCCCGCAGCCGATCTAGAGCCAAAAAGATTCGCCCCGTTTGGTTGAGTGAACATCGTGAATGGGTCTCGTGCCTATCGATGCCATCATGATTAAGCACGGAAGCTTCAAAGACCTTACACACTGGGGGATGTGGCTTTTATCCGCGCCCGGATGTTTGGTTCACCTTATAAGAGATATGGCTCGTCCGGTCATGACGATGGTCCAAGTCCACAGACTAAATCGAGATTCAACAGCCTCTCTAATAGCTATTATATCGCAGGCTAATCTCTTGCTTGACAAGAACGACTTATCCTCTCTTCCCACTTGACTTCAATATGGCTCCCTCGGCTATCTCTACGAGCCCTCCACCAACCGACCGGGTTTCTTCAAGCCTTGCCAGCTACAGAGGCTACGACCATGTGCACTGGTACGTAGGCAACGCAAAGCAAGCTGCCTCGTACTACATCACCCGCATGGGCTTCAAGCGCGTCGCCTACCGTGGTCTCGAGACAGGGTGCCGCAGCGTCTGCTCCCACGTCGTCCGCAACGGCGACATCACCTTCATCCTCACTTCGCCTCTCCGTTCTCTGGATCAGATCGACCGCTTCCCGCCTGAAGAACAGGAACTGCTCAAGGAGATTCACGCTCATCTCGAGAAGCACGGTGACGGGGTCAAGGACGTTGCTTTTGAGGTCGACTCTGTGGACTCCGTCTTTCATGCTGCGACGAACAATGGTGCCAAGGTTGTTTCTCACCCTCGGACCCTTGAGGATGCCGACGGCCAGGTGCGAGTGGCAACTATCCAGACTTATGGCGAGACTACACACACTTTGCTGGAGAGGGGCTCGTACCGCGGTGCTTTCCTGCCAGGATATCGCGTGGAAACCGGGGCAGAGGATCCGATCTCTCAGCTGTTGCCTGGTGTGCACTTGAACCGGATTGACCACTGCGTCGGAAACCAGGACTGGGATGAAATGGACAAGGTTTGCGAATAGTAAGTTGGCCGCTTTAGCAATCAGTAGACCTGGTACTGACTGTTAGCAGTTACGAGAAGACTCTCGGTTTCCATCGTTTCTGGTCTGTTGACGACAAGCAAATCTGCACGTGAGTATTTATCGTCAACAAGGCATTCCAGTAGGAGACTGACGCAATTTCCAGGGAATACTCCGCTCTCAAGAGTATTGTGATGGCCTCACCGAACGAGGTGGTGAAGATGCCCATCAACGAACCCGCCAAGGGCAAGAAGCAGTCCCAGATCGAAGAATACGTCGACTTCTACAACGGCGCGGGCGTCCAACATATTGCTCTTCTCACCGACGACATCATCCGAGACATTACCAACCTCAAGGCTCGCGGTGTTGAATTCATCAAGGTTCCAGACACATACTACGATGACATAAAGGTGCGGCTGAAGAAAGCTGGCCTGACTCTCCACGAGGACTTTGAGACAATTCGCAGTCTGGACATCCTCATTGACTTTGATGAGGGCGGATATCTGCTGCAGCTGTTCACCAAGGTATGTCACTTCCCGTTGAACAGGCAAGCCCTAGTCAGTCACGCTAATAGAGAACAGCACTTGATGGATCGTCCCACCGTCTTCATTGAAATCATCCAGAGACACAACTTCTCCGGCTTTGGCGCTGGCAACTTCAAATCGCTCTTTGAGGCCATTGAACGGGAGCAGGCCCTTCGTGGCAACCTTGTATAGGACTTTTGATGCTTTCCGTTCATTCCTGTCTTTGATTCTGTTGGATACCAGGCATGTAGCTTTGCATTGTACGTAGCGTTTGTTCTAAAATGAATCAGGCTTTAAGTTCTTTCAATGTTGGACAAACATGCAATAATCCTTCTTGCATTCCTTTCCCGCGGTCGTTTGTAGAGCTGTTGATCCAGTTCTCTTCACCGACGGATATGTCCAAGGAATCATTCACTGCCAGACTGAGAGGCCCAGAATCATTCACCGCTAGTACACCCCTTTTCAACATATAAAGCCTGGAGCTTTCCCGTACATATCTGTTCTTGTCTCATCCTGCCATCAGCTAGAAGGAGTACGGCATGGATGACCACCGGTGTCATTGCGGCTTCCACTCCCTTCCGAACGAACATGGGTTCTGATGAGAGCTTCGCTGACCTTCCGGGTGTCAGAACTAGTTATGCACAATCAAGTCTCATCTAGCACAATGTCATCCCTTCGCCAGTGATTTCTCTTTTTTTGGTCGCACTCATCCACGATCGCGAAGCGGCGTTTCTAATTTCCATACACGGCATCGGCCTTCGCATCAGGTCCACAGGATACATGGACTGTTCTTCAACAGCAGGAAGTCCAACGTGATCCAGGCAGCAGTAGCCACCAGGTTATATTGAGACCTCACTGCAAGCCTCATAGAGATGGGGGACGGGTGGTTGGAAAAAAGTAGCTATTCTCCCGAACCTGAATAACCAGTCAATGTCATTCAATGAACCATTTTCAGTCAGCCCGCTCTAACCGTTCCTTGAACTTTTAGTCGTCTCATGATCTTGCAGTCAAACACAGATATACATGATATTCTCAGTCATCACTCGCCTGTCAGATCAGACGATCATCGGTTACGGAGATATCGTCCGAGATACTTACCTTCTTCGCCTTAGAGGAAGCCACGCCGCAATTGAAGCTGATAAGCTGATCGAACCAACCAGGCCAGATACGCTATTCAAAACACAGCCAATTGCATTCCCTCGTTATCCAGAGAGAGGTGACGACCATGTTGATAGAATGGTTGATCGTCGTGCCACCAAGGTTTCCTGGGTTATCCCGGTAGAGCTGAGGGCAAGGGCAAAATCGCCAAACCCCCAAGCATGTCTGTCTAGGGGCTCGACAAGAATCGTGTTGTCCACTGAAGGACTTCGCTCGAGATATCGGACCCAGATACGCTCTCTGCTCAACAGGATCAGGAGTTTGCGCGTCCTGGGCCTTGAACCATGCTCTCCCTATAGTTGAAAATGCGAAGCATTGCTCGTTGGACACTTCGAAAATTTGGATGTTCTGGTGTGCGTATTTGTGAGAAAACAGTCTAACTATTAGGGATATCACCACACAGAAGTCACCGCAGATACCTGGCTAGCTTTTGAGCTAGCCCGGCGTAAAACAGCTGGTCCTGAGGGATTATTTCACTACCGGGAACGAGGGGGGGCTCCAGGGCTGCTTTGTCAAGAACGGTCGCCACTAGTTAATTGCTTGCCCACAAAAGGATGTCATGACATCTGTTGCGGATACCTCGATATCGAATCTTGTGGAATTGGGCCGGTTCTCACTTACTTGCATCACCTTGGCCTACATAAATGAAAGCCTGTTGAGCAGTGGACAACACAGATTATTGAGGAAATTATGCGAAATACAACAGCTGGCCCATCCCCTGTCAGTCTGACCAACCAAGTAAGCCGGACCACCAGGTGCGATGGAGCCTAAACCTCCCGGACGAACGCACCGACTTCAATTTTGGGCCTTGAATCCCAAAAAAATTCCACATCACTGGAAACCAGAGAGGGCTCCAAGGACGATACGTCCAGCATGTGGGCAACATGCTTGGACCAATCTTCAACCAGTTAAACCTTGAGTATGTATCACAAAGATTGACAATAACATGACCGCGTGCTATCATCAGGCAGACAGCCAAGGCAATGCTCTCAGCTTCTTGGGAAGACCCATCTGGGTAACTCACCCCATCTTCTGAAAGATGAGATAGTCCCAGTCCCTCGCAACATCAATCCCAGTCCCAAGCGATTCACGACATCGGGAGTAATGGGTTGGTCCTGGTCCAATCTCTGTATAGCTTGGGCTCGAAGTTGCGAGACGGACAACCTGCTTTGAGGGAGCACGCTGGAGTCTCAAGACTTTGACGTTGTCGGAGCATCTCTATTTGAGGGTGCTACTGAGGCCTTGGGCCCACGACATTGACAAAGCCAGATGGCCCACTGACAACATATTGATAGAGGCCTTTTTGGCCGGAGCATCAAGGGACCACATGAGCTGGGACTACGACTCACAGGCCAACTGTGGCTGCATCTCGTGCGCCAAGGGCAAGCACACTTGCAAGAAGGCATGTCGGATTATATCCATCGTTCGATTCTTCCGTCGATCGCCGCGCTTGGAAACCTTGGTCGACGGCTCACCCGCCGCGCACTCAGCAGAGAGCAAGACTTGGTCTTAGAGGCTCTGCCTGCTGGCAGACGGCCCGATCATTGTGTCGGCCCATACCGGCTTGGTAGTGATCCGGTCACGCGATCCCTCGCTTAGTAGCAGTAGCTTCCATGTACGATAGAATTTACATACTGCTACATACTCATACAGAGTAACGAATATCACGATTATAGCTTCATATCTTGCTACGTTCTAGACATTGTTCTAGGCCGGCAGCCTCGGTTAGATAGTTTCGTAGGAGCCCATTCTCTCTCTTTTAGATATCAAGCCATATCATCATCATTTTCCTTTCTCTTCAGCTTCATGACTTGGGAGAGTTGTGAACGATTGGCTGTTGAAGACCATATTCATGATGTAATTGCGGAAGGAATTGCGTGCTGCGGCTGTGAGCCTGAAGCTCGCCTTTGTAACTGCTGCCCTGGTTACTCCGCAGCGTGCGACGGCTGTGCCGACTTTCGCTGTTCGGCGCGTTCTTTCTGCGGATTGGATTTAAGACGGCACATAGGTCGGATAGGAGGGAGGATGCGATTACATGCCTTGCTCTTTCCATGTATCTAACGATACCGGTTGAATCACGGTCTCGTTTTCCCGCGCCTTTTACCTGGCTCAGGAGGTCGGCCCCGTTGAGCCATTAGACTCTATTATACGAGGTCAAAAGTCATACCCGCGAGATACTACTATACATGTTGATGCGGGTCTATATGCTTGAATAAAATGCATTACTCCTAGAAATGCTTTCGAGCGCAGGCAGACGATGACATCCAGCGCCAAAACCATCATTTCTTCGAGGAGCTCGAACCACCTGGTTTTGTCGCTGCCAGACGTTTATACTTTCGCGGGTCTGAAGCTCGTCAGCGTAGGAAAGGAAACCATCACTAAATAGGAAGCATACCCTTTCGGCTCATCAGAACCTTGTTCCTTGTACCCTTTCCTCCTTCCCAGAAACCGCTGCCTGCTTTTCCGACGAGGACTGCACGGCATATACCGCAGTTCTCGGGGCGGTAGACTTGTTCTCTTGAACAGAATCCACTATGAGGGGTAAGAAGGTGTTGGGCTCCGAAGACAATGAGGTATGCACTTACCAAATCATGCGGTTTGCATGTTCATTCGGATGATCTGTAGCTGCGTCATGGCATCTACATGAGTTAGTTGAGTATCATCATAAGGGAGAGGTTGCAGCCAAAGGGTGCGGCAGACTCGAGCAGGTATTCCTGGGAAGGGCTGACGTACTTGTCACAGGGGAAAACCTTTGCGCAACAGCTGAACCTGTTGCAAGAGTGAGTAAATGAGGTAGCCAAAACTTGCAAAAGACGGAAATACCTGAACCATCGATAGCTTTTACCGTAGTGCATACATCTGCCTCGACGAGGCAACTCCTGACCAGCGACTATACCAAGGGTCTCTTTCGGCTAACGATTCTCTAAGTAAAACTTCGTCATTCCAGGCGACCAGAACATTGCACATACCTTCTTCCGCTGTGGAACACGATCACGAGAGGTGACTAGAGCAGTTGTCAACACATGTTTGCCGAGGACAATGACTTCGTCACAACTCACATGCAGCAGATCCTACAATCAAGAACTTGACCTCGGGGATTTTGAAGACTGATGTCCAATGGTTAGTGAACGCTCAAGATTTCACAATCACTGTGCTTACCCATTTTGCGATGGCACTGACGGCAGGAAGCAGTTGCACTCTCGCCGCGAACTGCAACGACGCCAGGTCCAGCAAATGTCGTCGAGCATTCTGCGCAGGTCGGGATAAAGCTACTACATGGATGTGAGAGGCGTTCGCAGGAAGCTCGCGGTCACTCAGTGGCTCTTACCTGGGAAGAAGGTCGACAACGGTACAGCCGTCCAAATCCAAATATCCCGCGCGGGTGGAGTGCGCATGCATCAGCTGTCTTCGAAAGCCTGGCAAGAGCGCAGGTTAGTATGGACCTTTCTTTCAGGCTTTAGAATAAGATATTCTTACCAAGGCTCATTGTGTTGGTACACTTCTTGCACGTCTCGACTTTCGGAGCCAATACATCACTCTTATCCTTGACCTGCGGGATATTTCTCACGTCCAAGTGCTCTTTGCAACGATCGCACTTGATTGTGATGTAGAGACCTACAAGCTCCAGGAGCTCAATGCCATACAGCTCCAGGTAGGGGAAGGAAAGGGCCACTCCACGTTCAGCTGTCGGTGCCGGCATGTCAGGAACAGGAGTGCCGCCGTCCTCGTCATCTCCATCCTCGTCCGTGAAGCCGTCTTCTGATGTCGAGAATTCTGAGACCTCGGTGCCCTCATCACTATCTCCTGCAGTCCATTCTGGAGGACGTGGAATGACACGAATATGAGGTTTATCCTCCACCTCAAGCATCGGATTGTTTGAGCGAGACGGTACAGATTCCTCGGATAGATTCACAGAGCTCGTGGTCGGTTCTGGCGTCGGTTCCACTGCCGATTTTAAGGCGGTCGTCGCAAGAGTGTGCAGATTGCTCGTCAAGTAATTGATTTGGGACATCAAGTTAAGCTGAGCGTTTGCCTTCACCCACTGCGAGAAGCCGACCTCTACAGATTGGGCTTCGGGAGATCTTATACCCTGAAGCTCAATTGAACTTGGCTCTAGAGGGTATAGACGAGGCACCAGCAACTTCACTGTCTTGATTGGTCGAAGTGAAACAGGCAGGCGTTCCACTTTGGAGGGTTGCACAGGAATAACGTAGGACAATTCATCTCGAGACTTCTGAAATAGGGGCAATCTACCGAGCCGAGCCTCGATTTGTTTTGTTTCGACTGCCCTTCTTCGTTCCGCCTGGGCTTTTTCTTCCGTGGTGTAAACCCTGGAAACATTCGTGACTGGTGCCGTTGGCTTTGGAACTGGCTTTTGTTCCGTTGCAGGCGTATCAGTGAGGGATACCCGTACCTGCTCTGGCGCTCGACGCTCCTGTACTTCCTTGCTGCCAACATTAGGGACGAACTTGAGGGTGGGTCCTCTTTCAGTGGTTGTAAGCAAGCGCTCCAGATGCCGATCGAGGCTGTTCATCCAACTCAACAAAGTTCCTCGGCCACCCGTCCTCAACGTACTGTCGACAATATCATCGAAGCCTCTCTCCACATTGGCTTGGAAAGCCCTTTCCATGTCCGGATTAATTACTGTTAACGTAGGTCTTCCCTGTCCGGGATAGGACAGCGGCACATGCAGAATGCATTGCAGCTTATCCATTTCAAATGGAAAATCGGGGTCAGAAGGAGCCATTTCAATTGTTAAGGATGTCCCTGACCCGTCAGTGGTTTCCTTTGGACGAAACCTTCGTCTCAGCTGATTGATCTGAAATTCCCTCGGGCTCGAGCTTTCGGCCTTAGAAATTGGCCTTTGGCCGGCGTGGAAACTCGGCTTGGCTCCTGCCTGAGGAACAGCCCTGACTTCCTTGGTGTCATTTATGGAAAGATTTCTAACATCGGTAGCTACACGTTGTAAAGAATTCTGGGAATCTTCGACCTCATTGGCTGAGCCGCCCTGCACTTGCGCCCCAGGCTGTGCACTCTTCCGTTTAGAATCGGCCAAATCGTGGATATACGGGCAAGCATCGCCGGCGCGACATCCTTGATGCACGTTAGTACGGAAGGTAAATGAACAGCAATGAATATGAGGCCAGCTGATAAGACTTCTCGGCAGACAGTACACTACAGAACTCGACGTATCTGTTTCTCAATCTCACAAGCAACTGCTCCCCGAACAGCTAGTACACGAGCCGATAGCTCCAAGTGCAGCTTCCAGGAGGAGAGTAGCCAAACTCAAACATGACGAATGGTCACAGGCAAATGAAGGCAGCAGGGGAAAATATGACAGGAACATGACTTACCCTTTTGGGAAGTAAAGAAGCGGCATTTAGCCCTCTGCTTTGGGGTTGACCGGTTTGGAACATCTGACCGGCTGGATACTGTAGAATCTTGAGGCTGAGCAGTCGCCAGCTCAGCGCCAGTGGCTGACGGTTGGCCTATGTCAAAATAAGAGTATCATGGTGAGCGCGTGATCAAAAAAGGTTGCGGGCCGCTGGGTCCGATTCACAGGAGGGAAAGGGGGCCAAGCAGCGCCTTCAGCGCCTGTTGTTTTAATAACAAATACTGTCAGGATCTGCGTCGACACGGATGTGGAACATTTGTACATCGACAGAGACCCAGGCCTGCTGAGCTGCATAGAAAGAAAAAGCAAATCCTGCTGCGGGACCACTGATTTCATGAGGGAGGAGAGTCTTGCAGTCTGAGGTGCAGCCCTACTGTACTCGGTACGGAATATGAAAATAAAGAGACTTACCATTGGTAGAGGATGCATGTCTGTCCAAGCCATCAGGCGCTCCAAGACCGCTAGTGGAGTCCATCCTGCCGACATGGTGTCAGTACGGCTCAAGGCAGTCTTCAATCAGACGAGTGAGATCTTGCTGGACATGTTGGTGCACCGTCATTTTCTACCATCTAAAAAGGTGTCCGAACAACCGTTTCTAGCTAGTAGAAGTGATAGTGTAGCAAAATGCTCAACAAATCACGCGGCAAGCGACACACATAATACGATACCTTTCCGCAAAGGGCTATGATGACTTGTCAGTCAGTCAATCTTAGGACTTTAGGACAGGGGCGAAGTACTGTAAATTGTGATCAACCTGCCAACGCAGAGATCCGGTGACCGTGAGATCGACGGTGGCTAGGAGATGTACCGTAGGGCAAACGATGCAAGAGATTAGAATGCTGCAGCCGTTACGTGAGAAAAGAGTCGAAGCTGGAATGGTAGATATCAGGCGATGAATGAGGTGCTCATATTCTTATCAAGAATACAGTATTGCTAATAGAAATGGCAATATACCTCGTCGTTGTTGTAGTATCAACAAATGTGGTGATGCTGACTGATGATCGTTTCCAATCAAGGGCGGTCAGGCGACACGTGATGTAAGATTTATAGATTCTCTTCGAATCTTGCAGTCAAGACAACACACAAATGATCTTGGATGGATATAATCCATGTGGTTCAGGCATCATAATAAGGAGCGTTAAACCTCTCAAGAATGTGTCATATGCCTTCTCTTCGTGTTGACCTAAAGATGCGATGAGGCGCAAGCAAACTGTGATTCATTACCTCATATTTTGAAGATGTGGGGTAGTATGAGTCCGGGGATGACTGGTAAGTGAGACAGACTCATCTTGACGATGTTTGAGTCACTGGGATGAATCACTCCACGCAGACACGCAACCCACACTCCGGCCATATGTAGACAGAATTTTCACCAAGGGCCAGCTCTCTTCTTGGGTCGAAGTAGTCAATCTGCTTACTCGGCAAGCCCCTTGATCTGATCTTGTCTGGCCTTTGAACACGAACCAAGATTAGCTGCCGACGCTGTGATCTACGGAGGACCCAAAAAAAACTGCTTGATTACCATGTCGATAGCGCTAATTAATGGTGGTGACTATACTAGTTCTTGAAGTCAATCAGAACAAGCATCGAAAATACTCCGTCCTCGAGTCAATTGTCTCGTAATCCATCCTCAACAACCAGTTTCGAAGTAGGCAAATTCACCAATCCTTCGATCTCAAAGGCCGGATCTTTTTACCGTGTGATAAAAACCCACCAACTGTTACTCTGTGGCGGGATGGTATCTCGGGCCCTTCATGAGCAAGTTCTGCTTCGATGAATTCACTGTGGCAGATGATACGAATATCATCATTACGTATCATCAGGAGCCACCTCTGCGACCTTCCCATGCGCATCAGCATCGACAGCATGCACCGGCAGCCCCGACTGGCATGTGCATAGTAGTTAGCTCTGTCTGTGTAATGTGTCATGCACAGAGCTTCTAGTTTGACACTGAAGAAGGCCTCTTATAGGAATGATGCTACTTCGCTCGTATCTAGGGGAGACTGACCTTTGGAAGCGTCGACAACTGGGAAGATGATGGTAAAGTAATGAATTTGTACCAGTGTATGTAATTGTATCTTATGTTTAAATACAAAACAGAACCTGACGAAATTACCATACCGTTAAACGCACCCGGGACCTTCCCACCGGATTTGGAGATCTAGATCAAAAGCAATACTTGCAGTAATTCCGAATGATCGCACCATTGATATCTTCCCTCAAGCTGACACCTCGTATAATGTCCATACACATTAATTAACTACTTAATCTTGAAAATCAATATAACTGGACGCCATGAATAAAATTTGACTTGGATTTAAACGTCCAGGATCGCGTCAAAAGTTCACTAAGGGATTGTCCCAACTTCCCCGCCAAATCAGAAGCCTTCTAGACCCCTCCCCGCGCGTCTCCAAAATATGCTCCAAGCTGAGATGAAAACATCGGAATGCAACCTGGGTCCACTAGACGAAAATAATCAGGAGCTCTCCCGAATCCGGTAAGAACCTACCTAGTACACAGTTACCTTTCAAGTCACCGGACCTGAAAATTTTTTTGCGGTACAACTACAAGCCTTGTAACCTTTACCTAAGGATGTTGAGGAGAGATCTCAATTCCGTGCACGTACAAGGATAATAATGAGGTCAATATTTGGATGAAGACATGATTACCATATGAGCTCGTTCTACAATACAAATTTGTTGGAGGAACGGAGGGACTGAGTTCTTCCGTTATTTCTCCGACCACGGGGCTGACATCAAATCAGTTGTTTAGGTCTGGACTCTTGAACTCCTAGGTACGGAGTACGAACGCGGAGGACGGAGGTCGGAGCAGTCCTCTAATGTCACATATGCTTCTCAGCACCTGGACTTTGAAATCATGAAGGGTTAGATAGCTGTTGCAACGGTAGTGTTCAATTCAATAATAAAGTCTTCTATTATCGTTCCACAGACTCTAGTCGAAGTCTATCTACGCAATGCCTTTGGAAGTCAACTCCAGCGGTGAGGAGGAAAGTGCTCCGATTCATGTACGTATCTTGTAACTACCCCTCGATTTAAAGTGAAGCACGGTACTGCCTCCCCCGCTCCGTGAGAGCCTTGGATGCTCTAGTACGTACAGTAGTGCAAAGCACCATATTTTGTACCCGACACGGTTCAAAATAAACTAAATCCACGGCTTCAGACCGACAACAAGACGTCAAAAAGGACCATCTATCTTTCCTGACTACTTATTGGGCATCAATTCAATATCCTCGATATACAAAAGCTGCTTGGGCATTGATTGGCCCACCAGCCAGGCATATATTGAAGCTGAGCGGAGCTTGTTTCGAACCATGTGTAATGTACCGGTACCATACCTTTGTTACCTTCCAAATTCTCCGAGAATGTTACACAACGTCTCAGTCCGCCAATCATGAATTTCCAGAAACTCTTTTCCCCTCTTCTAGAAGGTTTCTCGAAGCATGGTCGAAACTGCCGTTTTCGCTTTTTGAAACCATGGATGCTGGTTGGCTCATTTTCCGTCCATTGTTTGCGGCGTTTCGGGTCCTTCTGTATTATGGTTTCCGTGTCGAAACAGCTTGCATTCACGTGCTGATTTCGCCGCCTCAGGTTATTTGACAGGATGGTCCAGACTGGCATATCAAACAAATACCGGGTTTGCAATTTACACCACTTTCGTATCTACCTAGTCTAGTTCTTGTCTGCGTCCAGCTGGACTGGTGTTCTCTAATATCCACTGTGGCCTTCGTTTGACCCGATCTGACACGTTCTCAAGATGAGACGCCGGCTCATCTAGAACACCTACCACAGGCTATGACGTCCCTGCTTAAGGAAAATTTTTCTTATAGGTTTAAAACAAAACCGACAATTGATTCATGCGGAGCCGCTACCTCTTAGGGCAGTTGAAATCGAACGGTCGGCCAGCCCGACCGGTGAATGCCCAAAGCTCGGCATGATCCCGAGATATCGGGATAAGGTCCCTAGCGACCTGGAAGCCGGACAAAACGGTCCTGTGAGGAAATTCGCCGCTCGAAAAACTCGACTCGTAAGACATGATTGGCCCGTGTTCAGGCATTAAATGAAGTATTATAGGTCCATTCGAATGAAGAAATTTTCCGTTCGAGTGGCATTTCGAGGTCTAGACTAGAGGTCTCTAAGTCCTGAGCGTGTCTGACTCGATCAACGGTCTCGAATTTGTCAGGCGTGAACTAATATTTCACGCACTTGCCATTCTACTTGTGCTGTGACACAATCTAACTTTCCTTTGTCTGCAATTTTTTGAGGCGCAGGGAGGTCCGCATCCATGAAGCATCATGGATTGGTCCCAGCTTTCATGATACAGTGGCTAAGGACGGTCCCACCTTCAGGATCAATATGCCTGTTGTGTAGTATCAGTATTTGACACAAACTTGCTTGGATGACGGAGTATCAGCATGGTGTCGGTAAGCCTCCGACGGAATGAAGCTCGATGGGTGCAATTCTCGGCTTGCCGAGCGCAGAATTGGGCATCCCGAAGGAATAATAAATGCTCGCTGATTCCTCGCTGTCACTGTCAGAGTCAAAGCCGGTGCACATTGCTCCGTGCCTGAATCAGTGCGTCTTGAAACTGAGCCCGATTCGCGAGATCCTTTCAAGTTCCACACCAGTTACCATGATTCGATCCGATCAGCGTCGAATCAGGAGGCAAGTTGAGCGCAACCTCCACCAAGATATCAAAGTGTGTCGCGGCGTATACGCCCCATCCGTACAGTCTTCTGTCACCTACATACGCTGTCATTGTATAACGATCAGTACCGGTGAAGCTACGCAGTGCCCTACGAATCATCATTGCCCGTTCGACCATCGATCCACATCTGACCCACAGCGCAGACACAAAGCGTAAAGCGACACAGTCACACAAGAAGAGTCTTCTGCTGCTCTATCCTTCTTCTGGGAGGCTGCCGATTCTGTCTGCCTATACGAGCATTCATGTCCAGTTACTCCGTACAGTGTACAGTGACAGGCACTGCTGGAGTAGAAACCCGAAGGTTAGGCCGGGACCTGGACCTGACAAGACCTCAGGATCAGCAAGATCTTAGATCCACACGCGTCCAAGGCACCAGCCACAGACGTCGCGTTACGGGCTCCGCGTCTTCGGGTCCTGGCGGATGTCAGCCTGCAAATTCACTCAGCCTCTGGCCCTTTGTAATGGTACACCCCACGAGAGATCGGGAGGATTAGGAGCTGAGGTCTGAGTGGCCCACCATCCACCGCTGCTATCCAGAAACAAACGGTCGTCTATTCCGTACGCGGAGTGAGTTTCCCTTTTAACAGAACCAAAGCAGTTAGTGTGGGATGGAATTGGCATTACAAGTGTGTCTTGAATCTAGCAGGATTAAAGCTTGTCTGCCTTGCAGCCTTGTAGCCTTACAGCCTGGAGTTGGAAGATGCGCTCGATCACTATGATGTCATCTTGGTGGGCGATGATATGGTACAGTTCCTATTAATTCTCGACCACAACACTCTAGCTAAACCATAAATAAGCAAAATGATATCAATGTGAATTAATCTACTCCGTAGCTATGGCCCTGTCTCAATCCTCCACATGATCGAATTGACAACCGTGTATCTATACCTTTCCAGAAAGAGCTCACGGACCTCGGTCAAACTTGGATAAGATGCTTGTCGAGTACATCACGGTATACCTACCTATGCCAGTCTTTCAAGGTACTCCTAGCTCTTCCACATGCCCTGCACCTGCAGCGAGTATTGTAGACTCGCAGCGTAGCACAGACACAGCCAGTCCAGCGTAGAACGATAGATTCGACCTACCTCTACTCACCGTACGTCTCACTCTGAAAAACAAGAATACCGATCCCTGAACATAGAACGAACAAATAAGCTAAACACCTTATCAACACCTCTGGTCCAGTTGACAAATTCAACCAAGTGTACGCAAGTACAGTCATCTGCAAAGCTTATCCCTGGAAAACATCCAGTTCAACCCGAGACAGACCAAACACAAAAAGAAAAAATACCAGTCCAATTTATGATGCTGACCACCAGCCAGGCTCCAGCAGATTCTAGAATCTAGATCTGACGCGCGCGGGTGGCGGCGCATGGACGTTCTATCGTCTCATCATGATATCGAATCAAGGCGTTGGTGTCGGTGTTGGCGTGGGCGTCAAGGTGATGTTCCTTTGGCATCACCCACGCCCACTGGCGGCGAAGTAGGTCGGGGGATCCGAACAGGGTCCATTGTAAAGTATCGTACTCTGTTCGTGGGTAAAGTTTTATTCAAACCCTCAGTAAGCTACTAGATATCTCCGTGGAATCAAAGCTTCGGTCGGAGCTAGAAACGATGATGATAGTCGTCTTCATCACCTTGACGATATCGTCATGACTTACTTGTTGAGTGTGCTGGAGATGGAGACGGTGGGTACATCCGTGTTAAATTTAGAAAAGTAAGGTAACTCCGCGCAAACCCCATACTACCTGTACTGTCTACAGATTCCAGATCCGGTATATCGGCAGTCGAAAGAGATAAGGAAAGCTCAAATCATCAAATATAATAAATAATGGAAAAAGAAGGTGCAGAATCAAGATTCTGGGCTCTAGGTTGTGCCCTGGCCAGGCAGTCGCTACGAGTCGATTTTCATGTGAAGGGATCAATGCGACGATTCTAGATCGCGACCCCGGTAGGGCCATGCATATGGAATCCGCCCCTCCGGCAATCGGTTGTGCATATGAAGACATTAACCGACCATGGTTTAAAAGGTTAATATATTCCTATGCATTAGTGCTGATAATTGTTAAATAATCAAATGCTTCCCTGCGAAAGAGATGACTTGTTAGTTATTGCTGACACGTAACATCTGTGCGCCACCAATCTTGGCTGCAAGCTTCGTTTATACAATTGTACAATGCTCATGATGCACTGCAGCGATAAGGCTCTATTGCGGTAAAATTGTCTCAAATATGCTTTCAATGTAGGAGTACATGTCGTGGTCCTGGACAATCAGGCCAGAAGCACAATCCAGTAGACAAAAATTTCTCGACATACATTAATGGTCAGAATATGGTATTTGGTATCAGAAAGCTCGCAAATCAACAGATGACAATGAGTCAGAATATGTTTGTGGAAGCCTCGAGACGAGGCCGTCGCTATTTGTGATAATAACATCCATGGCTTTTCTTTTTGATGCGAAAATCCATTCATAAAAAGGGGGAAATGTCGTAAAGAAAACAACCGCCTGATCTCAGACGAAATCATCTGTACAGGATTAATGGTTAAGAAGCTTGTATCCTCCGTATGGCTCATTTAATAAAACATGATCAGACAGCCACACGATGCCCCGTATCGATTGCAAGATTGTAATGAAAAAAAGACGACCCCGGAAAGAAAAACAAAAGGCCTAGGTCGCAAAATAACAACCATATCCCTTTAAGTGCGCCAATATGCAATGCAGTCGTGATCGTGCGTCACAGACATGCTCAGACCGCGGTCTGTACATGTATGATAGAAAACAAAATGCGTAGAAAGGGTGCGGCGATGAGGGGGTATCACTCGTCAAAAACCCAAATAACCCATCAAATAGCCAGATACGTGTCAATGACTGGACAGGAAAGGTGGAGTCGAGGAAAGAGGAGAAAGAAATCGAAGGCAGAAGGTGAAGGTGGCAGTTGTGAGTGCTTCTACCATCCCTTTACATGGTATTCCCACGGCCCGAAGTCGGTATAATGATTAAACGAGGCGACATCCTTGTCAGCGGGTGCTTTTGCGGAGGCTCCATTCGCGACGGCAGCATTCCGTTGGGATGTTTGTGCGTTTGGTGCCCCATTGGGCTCGGGATACTCCTGTAGGTTCGCCATATCATGGGTTGTGTGTCGTCGCTTCAGGAAAGCGTTTGCGGTTGCACTCTTCTGCTGGCGCTCCCAGAGTAGATGACGTCTCAAGGACTCGGTCAATTCTGTGGCAAGCATGTTCCTCCGTGTAGTTCGAGGAGAGTGTGCGACCGACTGTGGAGACGGCTTCACAATGATCGGCTTCGACCGGGGAACATCGGGACCACGCATAGTCAAGCTCTCCTCATCATCTTCAGGTGGTGAAGCGGGGATGGAGGGTCCATTAGGTGATGTTAACCGTGAGCGCTGGAGGGCGGGGCTGGAGCGTGATGTTGGCCCCTGCATCTTGGTAGGCTGGTGCATCATCATTGTGAGGAGGGAACGACGCGAGACCAGGTTCGGCCTGGAGTCAACTCGCTGGAAAAGCTCCCTTTCCTCGACGCTCGACCTTCCACTCTCCGTCACTGAGTCTTCCCAATCCGAATCCTCATCGTCCTCAATAGCGCTCTCTGAAACTTCATCCTCAGTCTCAATTGCATCCTCATCATTGTCGTAGGACCTCTCGCTGATGGGTTTGATGATTCCAACTTGTTCTTGAAACGAAGTCACTTTCTTCGATGGGCTCGGATTAGTGGCTGCCGACTTGCTAAGCTCGTTAGAAAGCGAGCTGCGGTGTGGCTTTTGTATCGCTATCCGGTCCTCGAACGAGCTTTCATCATCATCCCCTGAAGAACCACCAAGTGTGAACATGCCACCCTTCTTCTTGAAAGGTGTGGGTTTCAATTGCGTTGGCTGCTGTGCTGGCCCAGGATCGGCCGCTAATCTTGGTTGCGACCGGTACGATGAGGAAACGAGCGAAGGAGAAAAGCCACGCACGACACTAGGAGACTTCATTAAGCAAGACCGAGAAGGAAGCATACCGGAGGAGGAAACGCTGGTGTCAGAAGCATTGACGTTCGCGGCGTCGCTATCGTTACCCTCCGGCGCGGTCGTTGAACATGATTCCGTAGAACGAAGAGCTTGTTGGTTGAAAGACGGGAAAGACGGAGTGCGTTTGGCAGTGGATTCTGAAGGCGGTGTCGGGGAGGGTGTCGACGGTCGCGGTGTGAGGTCAACCACCGGAGGGGCGACTGTAGTCATCGGCGGGTCGAGAGGCTCGAGATTTTTCTTCTCTTTGATGTTAAGCACCATCCGCTCTAGCCCGAGTGACGTGATGTGCTTTTCTTTTCCACGGCCTAGATACGAAAACGAGTCTTCGCGGACAACGGCAGGCTTCAGATCGCATCTAGCACGCTTGATATGGCTCTCAATTCTCTCGGCTTGTTCTGAAGCAGCAGATTCAACGCTGGCAGAAAGTTCCGGAAGGTCACCAGCTTCTGAGCGAAGGAGTGGCAATACGGAAGTATCACTGGACTTGTCCGGCTCCACACAAAAGGTTTCACGTGTCCAGAGTCTCCAGCTCAGATTCTCCAACCGACGACCTTCTTCCATATAATCGGCACATTTTGAAAATACTATAATAAGATCACACATGTCAGTCACCAATCGCCTTATGCTCGCATCCGGGTTCTAGAACGTACCCATCCACATGCCATGAAGACTCTGCGCATTAGCCGTGTCGACGTTGTGTATTTTTGCCGCGTCCACAGTTAGGACGGGAGTTGATAAACGCGAAGGCATGATAGCGACGCCACAATTTCGGAATTGTGACACTTTTTTTTTTCCCTTGAGAAGATAGCTCCCTGTTGGTCTTTTCGGGGTCGCCGTCTCCCCCGATCGTGGTCGCACGGCGCGTGAAACTCGAAAGAAGTATTTTCCCTGATCGCAGTATGTCGCAAAGAGCCTGACCTCGTGACAGGTTCTGCAGAGTGTGCTGCAGAGAATGGATTGGACTGTTTATGGCACCCTAGCTGTCGTCAAAGGCGTATGTAAAGACACAGCTCCTCACGATTCCTCAATCGACTTCCTTTGGAGCGGGAGATAGTTCGTAAGGCGCAATCCAGAGGCACGTATTGTAGTCGCGGTGACAAAAAGCGGCCAAACGAATGTAATTCCTTTGCCTCTTAGGTGCCCTAGTGTGTTCTAAAACTCGCCGGGTGAACTTTGTGCGGAGAAGGGTTCAAGTGGTCGATTAGTCGCTTGAGTATAGAAACGGCGATGTCGACGAGAGATACGGTCCTACCGAGCAGGGTGTGAAAGCGACAAGACTGAGGTAGCCTGGAAATGGAGGGAGGAAAGAGGTGAAAAAAGAATTGCACCGGAATATGGGGGAGTAAAAGGTGGAGGAGGGAGGAGCGGAAGGAGAGAAAGCGGACAATAGTTCGTTTATGGGGGAGGGTCGGAAGAGTGTGTGCAGTATGTACGAGATGGTAACGGTACAAGGGGAGGAAGAGAGGGAAAAAGAAAATCGAGGATGGCCACACATAGAAAGGTTCGCGAGGGTACCGAGGGACAGGTTGAACTACGGTGACGGGTGATGGGATGGGGCGGTAAGTACAATACAATAATAATGGAAAGATCCTAGCCTAAGTTACCTTTTTATTTTTTTTTTTATTTTTTGGGCCGATTATTATTAAATAATCGATTTATTTATTTCATTTTCGCCCTATTGCTGTGTATCACTTCCGGAGTATTCCCGTGGGTCACCTGGTATTCCATACCATGTCATTACCAGAAGTAATTTTACCGGTCTGTTTCCGGAGTTCCACCCCCAAGAAGAAAGTACGCAACTTTATGGCCAAGGATTCTTACGTACTAAAGCCAAAGAGCTTTTTCTTCTTGTGATGGAGTAAAGTACGGAGTAGGTAAAGCCACAATACACAAAGGTAGTACCTTAGGTATACAGAATACTTAACGGGATTGATCCCGGTGAACACAGCTTCCCTGCATTCAGATGGAGTCAAATTGACACATGACCAGATCCTTCATGGTCCTTATTGTTTTCTTTTTCTGTTTCTGGGAGCATATTCTGAATTCAATGATCAAACATAGGTACCATGATAATTTGTAAATCTGATATATAACTCTTGAATCATGATACAGAAAATTCTAAAAATATCAAGGGTGATACTCCAAGCATCAAGGTACGAGGAGGAAAATAAGATGGTGGCAGGGTAAGGTGACCTCGCCTCATAGACCGTCGGACGAAAGATCTTCTTGTCCTGTGACCTGCTCTGCTGCTGAGTAAGGACAGGATATCTTCCAGGAGCAGTCACTTGACTCTGGAATGGGTCCATATCGATAGGCGCTGGTTCAACCAACCCAACCGATAGGTACTGCCAATTATTGCAATCTATCTATCTCTCCACATATTCTAAACGGAAAACAAGCCTCATTCTAGCCCGGTGCTGCCTATGTAACTGTCAACCTGAATATTGAAGAGAGGCGGCTTCGCTATTGTCGAAGGAGCTCGCTGATCCCAGCATGGTTGAATGTTGACACGCCACATCCCTAGCTCAGGGGCCGTTTATCAGTCCTCCTGACTGTCCCTTGTGAATGATGTTCAAGTAAACTACTTTCGCCACGGAATTTGCGTCTTTCGCCTTCTACCTCAAGGATCACATTTTTCGAAGGAAAGCTGCGATGTTTGTTTCATTCTGGTTGTCCATTAATCCTTGGCAAGTTTGGTGGCATCTAGGCTCTAGGCCACTCACTCCCTTTTCTTTCTCCATATTTTCCCCGGATGTTTGGTGGATATTTTCCGTCCAGATGACCTGTTTGACGGCTCAGGTTAATGATCCCGGCTGAAATGGATTGGTGTTTGATCGTCCTCCTTACTGCTATTAGCCGGTGGTATGTAGGTTTTATCTACTGTTCAATTCCAACCGTAGCTGCATACCGGGGAAGTCTGGAAGTGTTCCGATCTGGCTGATCCTCCTACCTGGTTTTCTAGATTATTTGAGGCGTCTTAGGCTCGAAAGCAATCAAATATGTAGATGTTTGAGGTCTAGGGTCAATAGCCTCTCCATATCCTACGTTCTAGGAGGCATATAGCCGATGCTCACAGTAGGTTCCTTTGCCTCCTTTGAGCCATTGATCCTTTGAACTGCCGGTCAGAGGTTTACTTACTGGATTGGTCTTTTGTAGCAATGATCTCTATTCTCTCCACAGATGTTGATGCTGCTGATCACTTAGTGTAAGCCATTATTCACAAGACACTCACATTTTGAAGCCACTGGGATTGACGCCCACACCTAGACATCTATCATATTCATGTCAAAAGATTCGAACAAATTCCACGGCAGCTCTATTTGGAGTCGGCGGGAGTCACAAGGTAGCGTGTTCACCGGTGGCCACTAATAACTATCTAGATTGGAAGTAGATCATGCTATCAGAGCTCCATTAGGAGCGACAGTTGAGAGGGCAGTATGCCATCCAAAGGAGCTCCTGGCCGCTCTTGATCGATATTGGCTAGCATGCCTAGGCAGTCCGCCCCCGTGTCTCGAATCCTCAAATCGGCGAGGCACAAAACAACTGATAATACCAGCGGCAATTTCCCCTTCCCCAGAGAGATAGTCCTGGTTACAGGGATCATGACAATCGCCTAAAAGAACTATTACCATCATCTAAGAAGTAAGTATGTAGCACTAGTAGTACGGAGTACAGGCGCACGTTTTGACGATCATGTGATGTCCTACAACTCAGCCTAGGTCCCAAGAGCACCTGATGGCTGAGTTGTACAACTTGGTACATTTTCGCCTCTCTCCGATCTCTCCTCTCGTATGGAGATACTGTCAGCCACATGATATTTTGCAACGCCATGCTAGCCGCCAACCAGCCCAATACTCTCGTCTCCTGAGCAGGCGGGTAATGAAGATGAGAGGAAAATGTCCATTTCTGAACAGAGAGTGGTAGGCTCGGGCCGAAATAGAGCTTAGTTTCACACTGTTGTGAACTGATTGCGTACCAGTTTGCATTCCAACAGTAGAACCTAGTTGCTATTAGCTGACCGAGTCGCCTGCGACTTCTTGGATGTTCCAATAGTTCCTCTACAAAGGAAGAGTAATGATTCGGAGCTTGTCCATGAGACGAGTCCTAATGACTGATCCGCAGGCGTAGAAGCGAGCCATAACGCCCAATATTCTTAGTAGAATGACAGGCTGATTCACGCAGAACAATACCAAAGTCAAAGCATGACATCGCCGCGGCCAAATCTAGTGTGAAGACTCTGTTGAGAACAACCTCCACATGGATGAAGACGACTTGCATTCAGAGCTCCTAGACGCCTTCAATCATCTCCATGATGACCGAGTTCTGTCCAGCTGCCCATATTTCGTGCATACAGACTGTTCCACTGTGGCGATGGAGCGGAGCCACGTAGCAGTCACTCATTATGTCAGGCGTGCTGCAAGCCTCCAGGGACCACTCGGTAAGAAGTTAGACAGGGGCTAGGAAGACGACTATGATATCAGCAGGTAGAGTATGTTGTGGAAGCTTTGGAACTACTAGATTATCGTTTGGGTCCGAATATTAAATGTAGGTAATCGAGTATTAGGTATGGGGAACTGCGAGTTTTATCGGATTGTTACCCCATATGGATCCTCCGCTTTTTCCCCATCAAGCGAAAAGAGTCAGATCTGCCCCCGAAATGGACTGACTGTGCGGAGTAATAATGAGTCGATAAAGTGCCTCATACCTCATGATCTCGAAGATCTCAATTACTCGTCGAATATCAAACAAGAAAACTTTCCAAAGAGCAACTTTCCAACAGGCAAGACACAGCTAGGGAAATACTACGGAGTAGACAAGATGAATGACCTACTCTGTACTTCATAAGGATTTCCTGGTAGACTTTCGGTAACACCAACGTCTTGACTCTTCGGCAGCCAGGCTAGGTACTCCGTGATTCGGCGCCAGTTCCTACCTTAGCACCCGCCATCAAGACGATGGAAATAAGTACCGTGGTATGAAGGATGATACGATCCGGAGGAAAGGCGTAGCTATCATTCGGAATGTGAAGGACTCTCATAACTGAGCTATGCACTTCGACTCTGCACAGCGACGGCAGCCCGTACCAACCAACCTCGAGTCTTGGCGTGAAGCATCCACAGTGAAACGAAGAGTGAGGCACATGGGGGCGCCGCAGGAAAGAAGATTCACTCGGCAGGAGAAAAACCTCAATCCAACCATAACAGGTTAAAATAACGAAGCTGAGTACTATCTTTCAGCATCGATTACGGAGTACCGCAGTGAAACTTGCTAAGTACTGTTTGATGTGGGGGCAAAAGTTCAGCCTCTGTCATGTCAGTGGCGAAACAGAGGTCACAAGAACATCTCCTTGTCACATGATGCGAGGTTAACCCGCGGCATTTACCATGCTTTTTCCTCCTTTTGACTTTGCAATTGTCCGTTGGCCACGGAAGGCAGAGCTAAAAGCTTTGAAGGCGCTCCGTGTTTCTATCGTCTGGATTCATGGCCAATTTGAGTCGGTCCTAAGGAACCCGAAAAGGGGTGGAGAGGCATGTGGTATTGTCGCTGAAGTTACGGGATGGTCTCCTAAATTCCTTGTATTAGTTTGTTAAGACAGGGTGCTTTGGAGCATCATTTGGCAATGGCAGCATTGTGACAGTCAATGGCCCTCTAGCAAGTAAAAGTTGTACATGTTCGAAGTACCGAGCACTGGCTATTGTTTTAGAGCTGAGACTGAGAGTACTCATAGGCACACTCTCAGAAAAATGTCA